TCACCTTTTGCATTTAGGAATCCTAGGAAAACAAACTGGGATCATTATGCACAGTGCTTGAATTCTGACATATTTACAAATGATATTAAAATTGAATCGATTCAACAGTTGGAATCATTTTTCCAAAAGGTAAACGAATGGATTATCAGTTCTTTCTACAGTAGTTGTCCTATCAAGCGGTCTGCCTCCAGCAGGGATGTACCGTGGTAGAATTCGAATTTGGAACGCCTTTGGAAACTTCTCGTAAGATGTTCAATAAGGTGAAAAGCACTTCTGATTGGACACAGTACAAGAAATCTCTATCCAAATATAATAACGAAATAAGGAAGTTTAAGAGGCGGTCTTGGATTCGAATGTGTGAAAGCATAAACAGTATTCCGGAAGTGGCAAGGCTACAAAAAACTCTTTCGAAAGATCATCCGACAGAACTTGATAATCTTAAATGTCTTGATGGAGGTTTCACCAAATCTCCTTCTGAAACATTAGGGAAACACATTTTCCAGGATCAGTCTAGTGTGAGGAATCCGCTAACTCTAATTTTGTTGATGAAAGATGGTCTACGAAGACCTCTTTGGAGTCTCAAAGAACAGGAGACGCCACACCAGATATAGCTGATGAAATCTTCACAACATGAAATTTTGATTGCCTTTCTTTTTGCACACGCCGGTAAGTTACACACCTCCCATCATGAGTAGTTTGCTATCAAGTAGCGACACTCTCCTTTTACATATATGGCGGTTTTAAAGTATTCTGCTAGTCTCATTCTTTGCTCGACTGTCAAGCTGTTCAGTCCGTATTTTCGCTCGAGTTGTCGATTCGATTTTGTTTCGTTTTGTGCTGTCGCGTTGCGCCGTGGAAGTGTCGCCACCTTCTCGCGTTCTGGCAAGTTTAATTGAACTTGCAAACACGAAACAAATGGTGCGTAAACGTGCCAATGAGCCAGCAGCGGGCCCTTCAAAGAAGGTGCTAATCAAGCCCAGCGCGTCGCAGGATAACGCCGGAAAACGAGTACTGCAAGCCAACCAGTATGCAGTACTCCCGGAAGAAAATGGCGATGGTGACGCTGTTCCCATTGCAAGACGAGAGCGGATTCCCCCGCTTTTCACGCCGGTGAAGGATGTTGCCAAGCTGGGTGCCGAACTGGCAAAACACAAGCTGCTGCCTCGCTTCAAGCTTTGCAGCATCGGTACAAAAATCATGTGCTTCAGCTTGCAGGAGTACAAACAAATAGGAAGTTTCCTGAAGAACAACAACGTGGACTTCTTCACGCATGATCTGCCATCGAGCAAGCCACTGAAGGTGGTTTTGCGTGGATTACCGTCGTTCGAGGCTGCTGCGGTGAAGTCCGAGCTGGAGCGGCTTGGGCTCCAACCTGAGGCCGTGTTCCAGATGAACTGGCGTCCCAACCAAAACACCAGCTTCCGTGATCAGTTGTTCCTGGTGGATTTCACGAAGGGATCCACTAGTCTTGCGGCTCTGAGATCCAAAATCCGGGACCTGTTTCAGGTCATCATCAGTTGGGAGCATTACAAACCCCAACATCATGATGTAACGCAGTGTATGAACTGCCTCTCATATGGCCATGGCACCAAAAACTGCCACATGAAGACAAACTGCGGCAAGTGTGCTGGAACTCACTAAACTGCGTCCTGTGAGCAAGTCGATGACATCGAGCCAACGTGTGTCAACTGCGGTGGAAACCACCAAGCCTCCAATCGCGGATGTCCCAAGTGAGTGGAGCTCATTAATATCTGTCGGAAGGCCACAATCAACAACCAGCTCGGTTGCCTTCGTAATCATCGTTCGCCTCCTGTACTAACGGAAGTCCAGTACCCAGCTCTCCAGCCCTGTCGACATGTTCCGAACCTAGCCCCGCTTCCGCTCAACAACCAACAAGCCAATCCCGCGAGTATCCAAATGGTTCCCAACAGTCGAACAGTTCAGCATCGTCTCGCTGTTGCTGCGGCCCAGCCAATTCCAGGTTCATCCACCGCCCCTGGTTTATCATACGCTGGTGCTGTCTCAGGTGAATCTGTCGATGATTCTCCGTTCACCTCGGAGGAACTTGTGACGCTCGTGGCCGAGGTCATCATCATCATGCGTACCTGCAAGACTCGATCTGAACAGCTTCATGCTGCCTTGTCACTCGTCACCAAGTATGGACCGTGAAGCTATAAAAATTGCAAATTGGAACGCTTGCTCACTGACGAACAAGCATAAAGAGCTACTCGATTTCCTCAACGCCAAGGAGGTCGAAATTGCTATCATCACCGAGACGCATCTGAAGCCCGAACTGAACGTATTCCTTCCCGACTTCCGGCTCGTCAGACCTGATCGCACCTGCTCTGGAGGTGGAAGAGTGGCCATCGCTGCAAGACGGAACATCAGTTGCCGGCTGCTACCAAACTTCCAGCTGAAAACAATTGAAGCCATCGGAGTGGAGGTGAGCACATCACTTGGCCCAATCACCATCATCGCGGCCTACTGCCCCAAGCAAACCAACATCAGGGACGGGTCGTCAGTGGCCCTCCGCAAAGACATCATCAAACTCACCCGGAGGAGCGGGAACTTTATCATCGCTGGCGATCTGAACGCAAAACATCAAGCTTGGGGCAACGGTCGGAGCAATAGAAACGGCATCATCCTCAATGAAGACCTGCAAGAGGGCCACTATACCATCTTGGCCCCGGACTCTCCCACCCGGTTGAGTCGGTCTGGGGTCCATGCGACCATCAACATCTTCGTAAGCAACATGGGACACAACGTCTCGCAACCTGTGACATTCCAGGAGCTGAGCTCGGACCACTACCCGGTGGTGGCCGAAGTTGGATCCTCGGTAAACCGATTCGAAGCTTCCCGGCGCAACTACCATCGAGTCAACTGGGCGCAATATCAACACTGCGTCGACACAACCATCGACTACGATGTCCAACCGGGGACGTCGGAAGATGTTGACCGGTGTCTACAAACCATCGAGGAGGCGATTTCCCGGGCCAGGGAACAACACGTGCCAGTATCCAGACAGGTGAGTAACACTCTGAACCTTGACAGCCCTACCAAAGATCTCATTAGACTCCGTAACACCATTCGTAGGCAGTACCAGCGTAGTGGCCTGCCTAACTTGAAGACCAATTGTAATCGATTAACAAAGATCATTCAGGCTAGGATGTTGGATCTCAGAAATAACGATTTTGCTAGTAAGATCCGCTCTCTCCCAGATTGTGCTAAGCCCTTCTGGAAACTTACAAAAATGCTTAAAAACAAGCCTAGGCCCATTCCCCCACTGACCCCACTGGATCGTCCCGGCGACCCAGTGGTTCATCTGTTAACTCCTGAAGAGAAGGCTGCCGCGATAGGTCAACACTTCGTAAGCTCCCATAATCTCGGACAAAACATCGTCAGCCCTCATGAATCTGAGGTTGCTGAAAATGCAACCAATCTTCTTCAGATTCCTAACATTTTTCCAGAGGAATCCGAGATTACGGCTGACGGCCTATATCAAATCATCTAAAAACATGAAGGCCCCAGGTTTCGACAACATGCTGAATCTGGAACTCAAACACTTGAGTTCCAGATTCTACAACCATCTGGCACTGATTTTTAATCAGTGCCTCAGACTTGGCTACTTCTCCTCGTGTTGGAAGTCAGCTAAAGTCATACCCATCCGGAAACCTGGGAAGGACCAATCAGCTGACTCGAGTAACAAACATTCTCAGACGGAACAAGTCTGTTTCGAAAACATCTGCCATGGCGTTGTTGGACGTTGAAAAAGCATTCGACAATGTCTGGCATGATGGCCTGGTGTTCAAATTGCAGCAGTACGGTCTTCCAATCTTCCTAGTGAAGATCATAAACAACTATCTATCAGACAGGACGTTCCGAGTCTCTCTGAATGGCATCTCATCGGATGCTTTCAACATCGGTGCCGGGGTTCCACAAGGAAGCATTCTTGGCCCCATCCTATTCAACCTGTTCACCTCCGATATGCCGGCTCTCCCTGATGGTGGATCGTTGTCTCTGTTCGCAGATGACACATCCATCATCTACAAGGGTAGGGTCATCGGAGCTCTGACTGCCAAACTTCAGAACGGCCTGGACGTTCTGTCTGAATATTTCAACAGCTGGAAGATCCGTATCAACGCGGCAAAGACCCAGGTCATTATCTTTCCACACTCTAAATCTCCTAGACTTGTTCCGTCGGAGAATAAAAAGATCTGCCTGAACGGCACAGTGGTGGAATGGTCCAAAGAGGTCGTGTACCTCGGGCTAACACTAGACAGCAAACTTCTTTTCAGGGAGCACGTTGACAAAACAAAAACCAAGTGCAACATCTTGATATGATCGTTGTATCCACTTATCAACAGGAAGTCAACCCTGTCCCTGAAAAATAAGCTTGCTGTCTACAAACAAATCATCCTTCCTGTAATCGAGTACGGTATGCCAATCTGGGAGAGTTGCGCAAAATGCCATCACCTTAAACTCCAAAGGATCCAGAACAAGATCCTTACGATGGTCCTAAACAGTCCCCCGCGGACTAGAAATTCTGAGATCCACTTCCTGGCTGGAATTCAAACATTAGAAGAACGGAGAGTATTCATCTTGGAAAGGTTCAGAGACACCTGTCTGAGATCAAATCATCAGATCATACGTGATCTAGCACGTTAGGTTAAGTTATACTCGTAGTTAGGTAGGTTATCACTTTTTTCAATTCAAATAAAACACATCCCCAAAGGGATATTCTGTAAACTAGTTGAAAAACGCAAATATTAAATTAGAATATCAAATTAAACAAAGATGAAGAGCCAAGTAGGCTAATAAATTAAAATGATAAATCAATGTACTACCATAATCAACTGAAATAAACATAATTTTACTACTACTACTGCTAGTCTCACACTACGATCTGCACTCAGTGTGGTCGAACGCAAGTATTTTTTTCTCCCGTGTTTTCGCAAGTTTTTTCTCGCGCGTTGTCGAACGTTTTTTCGTTCAACCCAAGCATGGGTAAACCGGGCCTATGCGGTAGCCAGAAGCAAGGCGGCAAACGGACGGCGGATAATAATGTCGATGCCAGACATACGAAGCGGGAGCTACCCCTCAACCAGTTCTCGCTGCTCCAGGAGGATGATGGCGAAAGACGTGAAAGCGTTGAGAAAAAGGAGAAGTTGCCTCCTTTTTATGTCAAGGGACAGCCACGCGAGCTGCTTGACAATCTGAATGTGCTAGTCCGTAAAGGGCTACGGGCTGAATTCCGTCTCTGCGCTGATGGCGTGAAAATCACCGTCCCCTCGGCGGAACATTATAAATCTGTGGCGGAGACACTGCAGCTCTGGAAGGTGGAATATTTCACCCACGACGTGCAGTCGACGAAGCCTTTCAAGGTCATTCTACGCGGGCTGCACGAGCTGGATGTTTCGATTGTGGAAGAAGAGCTGCAACGCAACAACCTTCAACCCGTGAAGGTTTTCGTGATCAAACGCCACAACGAGGCGATCAAGTATCGCGGCCAACTGTACCTGGTGCATTTGGTTGGCGGATCCACAAACATGAGGCAGCTTCAAAGCATCCGAACGCTGCTCAGTGTCGTCGTCGAGTGGGAGCGGTACAAGCCGGTTCACCGTGAAGTGACGCAGTGTACCAGCTGCTTGAATTTCGGACGCGTTGCTCCAAATGCGGCCAACAACATGTCACTGCCCAATGCATCGTGGACATGAAGGACAAGCAGCCAACCTGTGTCAACTGCGGGAATGCCCACACATCGACTAGTCGATCGTGTCCCAAGCGGGCTGAATTCATCTTACTGCGGAAGAAAGCAAGCCAGCCGAAACAGCAGAAAAGAAGCAACTACCCGGAATCGATCTGGAAAATGATTTTCCACCGCTTCCTCTAACCGAAGGACGCGCACCAAATCTTCCTCCCCTTCCGCTGCCCAGAAGGCAGTATACGAATTTGACGCAAGCCGAATCGAGCAGCACTCCTCCAGGAGTCTGGGGAACCCAGCCTGGTGCTGTACCGTTGGTCCCTCCGACCGATGGTCTGACGCAGGTAATCAGTCATCTGACAACGCTTGTCAGTGAAATGCAAAAAACGATGGTGCAAATGATGCACTTCATGACGAACTTTTACGTTCACCATCAACGCCCTTAGTTGGAACGCCCATTCAGTGGCGAGAAAACAGCCGGAAATCGTAGATTTCCTGCGCCATCGCGTTTCTGATGTCGCGTTTCTAACCGAGACGTATCTCAAGCCGGAGATCAACTTTAGCCTGCCAAATCACACAATTGCTAGACTGGACCGAGTTCGAGCACAGAGGGGTGGTGGCGTTGCCATTGCCATCAGGAGAGGACTGGAGTACAGGATGCTGCCTGACTTTCGTCTATCGTTCGTGGAAGCCATTGGAGTCGAGCTGGCATCGCCGGATGGTTTCATCACACTCATTGCCATCTACTGTCCTGCCCAATGTAAGGAGTCGGATGGAACAATCGATCGTCTCAAGAATGACATCCAGAAGTTGACTCGTCGGAAGGGTAAGTTTATCCTCGCCGGTGATCTCAACGCACGCCACTCGCTGTGGGGCAATGCAAGAAGTAACAAGAACGGAGCAGTGCTGGCCACGGACCTGCAGGCGGGACACTACGTGGTCCTCCATCCGGACTCGCCTACCTTCTACTCACCAGCCGGTGTCGGATCCACCCTCGACATCGTTCTCACCAACATGGCGGATGGTTGCTCTGAGCCCCGTGCCATTACCGATCTGTCATCCGACCACCTACCGGTGGTTTTCGAGATGAATCAAACCATCAACCAACGTCAGCAGCATCGTACGCGAAACTATCATCGAGCGAACTGGCTTCAACTCCAGCGGTTTATGGAGGATTAAGTGGTCGAAAATCCTGCGTTAACGACGACGGAAGAAATCGACGGCGTGCTGCAAGCGCTCTCCGATGACATAGGCGAAGCGGAACAACGGTTCATCCCGAAAACCCCGGTGACATGTAAGTTTACCAACCTTGATGATGAGACCAAGCGTATAATATCTCTTAGGAATTGTGTTAGGAGGCAGTTCCAAAACGCAAAACATTAGTAGGAAAGTTTTATATAACAAATTAAACAAAATTATTGCCATTAGGGTAGAAAAACTTAGGAGCAGGCAGTTTGCAAAATACCTTAGTAGTTTACCAAATTACTCTAGGCCCTTCTGGCGTTTAAAAAAAGTGCCTAAAACCAACCAAAGCCCATGCTGCCTCTTAGAGTTGATAATGAGGTTCACATAACAGCCGTCGAAAAGGCGAACTCCATTTCTCAACATTTTATGGCTTCGCATAATCTGGGTCGAGATATTGTCAGCCCGATGGAGGGTCCGGTGCTTGAGAGCGTCTATCAGCTAGCTACTGAGCCTAGCGAGCTTCCGGCGGACCGGAAAATCACACTTGATGAGCTGGTGAACACCATCAAGTTGACGAAGAACATGAAGGCACCGGGTTTCGACGGACTCTTCAACATTGTCCTGAAGAATTTGGGACCGAAAGCGCATACTCTTCTGGTGAACGTCTTCAATCGCTGCCTGGAGCTTGACACTTCCCAGCTACCTGGAAACGGTCCAAGGTGGTACCGATACCGAAGCCGGGAAAGGATTCTACCAACCCGTCAAGCTACCGTCCGATCAGTTTGCTTTCCTCGCTTAGCAAGTTGTTCGAAAAACTCATTTACGCCAGACTCCTCGAGCACACCGAGGCAAACGACATCCTACTGGGCGAGCAATTCGGATTCCGACGAGGTCACTCGACGGTGGACCAACTCAAGCGGGTCTCAAACCTCATCAATCAGGCGAAGTCGGTCTTGAAGACAACGGTCATGGCGATACTGGACATCGAAAAGGCATTCGATAACGTGTGGCACGATGGCTTGGTACACAATCTTCTGCAATTTCGTTTCCCCAGCTACCTGGTGAAGATCATCTCGGACTACCTCGACGGCAGGACGTCTCAAGTATGCGTAGGCAGTGCTCTCTCGGAACCGTATGATGTACCCGCTGGTGTCCCTCAAGGAAGCATCCTGGGACCCATATTGTACAATCTGTACACATCAGACATACCGACACTGCCGCAAGGTGGAACACTGTCGCTGTTTGCAGACGATTCGGCAATCAGCTACAAGGGACGAGTAATGCGCACTCTCGTACCGAAGCTCCAAAACGGATTGGATGCCTACACCATATATCTCACCGACTGGAAGATATGTGTGAACGCGGCCAAAACGCAAACCATTGTGTTTCCGCATAGCAACACCGACCGGCTCAAACCGTCATCAAAGATAAATGGTTCTGAACACTGAAACTGAGTGGTCACCCGAGGTACGCTACCTTGGCCTGATTCTCGACAGTAAGCTCCTCTTCCGGTCGCTCGTGGAAGACCGAGTCAAAAAAGGGACCATCATGCTGAAACGTCTGTATCCGATCATCAACCGTCGCTCGAAAGCATCCACCGTCAACAAGCTGGCTGTCTACAGGCAGATTGTTGCGCCTATGCTGGAGTATGGGTCTCCGGTATGGAAGGGTTGTGCTAAAACACATCGGAAGAAGCTCCAAGTCCTGCAGAGCAAGTTCCTGAAGATGCTTCTGAATCTGCCTTCGCGCACACGGATAGCCGACGTTCATCGGCTCGCAAATCTCGATCAAATTGACCAGAGAATGACTGCGCTCGCCAGTAGGCACCAAACTAGGACTCTAAATTCAGAGTACGAAAAAATTGGAAATCTTTACCCATAATTTTGTAAATAGTTGGTTTAGTTAGGATTTAATGTAGTTAGATAGGAAATTTAAAATTTAAAGTTTAAAATTTAAAATTTAAAATAGAGCAAATGTTTACACTGTAAAATAATAAATACCAATTAGCAAAAATTAGTCAATGGCTTTCAGTAATTTTAGTAAAGAATGAATAACAAATGTTGATCACTAACATTGTAAAACTATGGTAAAACAAAACAACTGAATAAAAATAAATTAAATGTAAAAATCATGGTTTCAACTAGATATTCTCACAAAAATATTTCACGGAGTCATTCTTCAGAATTCACTGTTTCTACCTATCTTTTTATTAGGCCTATGGAATGCGTTAGCTTCGAAACTTCTAACCAAACTGGGAATCACTTGTATCGTATGCTAATTGGTTGTAACAATAGTAATATGCAAAAATAAATAAAATTGTAATAAAATGTTATGTAAAATTTTTACTAGAAGATCACTAATCTATTGGTGAGAAGTTTCTAATAAGCTCTCCCAGTTCCTCTGTATATAGAACAAATCTGATAAATAATCAAAATTGCTCAGTCTGCATGAAGCAACAGACTTCATCATGGAAGTTCTGTTAACAACCAATCGTTTGAGGCACACAGAATTATTAAGAAGGTGAAATCATCATAATTGCAGTTATAAAGAGACTAAACATAACCCTTTGCTTTAGTACCGTCAAACTCTATGTCCATGGGGAGGGTTATGGTATGTTGATACGTCTGATTGTCTGTGATAAAACGATTCACAAAAGCCACAAGAGTCGCACATCATCTTCCTCCATTCTACCCGCATTGCCACCGTGTCGTTTTTCACTTTACCTCCTCCCAAAAACAGCCATCTAATCGTTTTTCCAACCTTTGTCGAACAACATCGATCGAGCTCAACTTGATTCACGTCGGAATAACAAGAAAACCAGAATGTATGTTAATTGGATTCCACATTCTTGCTCCATTCCATCACTTCCAGGCGCAAGCCCTTTCGGAAAGGTTTGGTTCTTTCTGGTACCAACCAGTCCTCACACTGTACGTCATCATCCAAACCGATCGCACTGCAGCGACTTGTTTTTCTAGAAATTTATGAAGCTCGAGCACACTTAATGAGGGGCCAGTTTTATTGACAGAACTTTCACGAATTAAAATATGAATGGTTAACCGGTGTGTTTGTGTGTGAACGAACATAGCGCATAGTATCTGCCGTGTTGAGCAAAGGCTACAGGCAAGGCGACCCAGACATCGAAGCTACGTTGCCTTCAGAGTGCATTCTACATTGCCTCCTATTACAGAGGAGAGCTTTTCGCGCCAACCTTGCCAATAGGTTAAAAAGCGAATGAATTCATGCATACATTATAAAATGCATTCGGTTGCGTCCTTATTTTTCCCAATAGACATTCAATTAGTCCTCCTGTGGAAATTCAAGTTTTATCTTGGACATATAATTCTCGGGGGGGATTATTTCTTGAACCGTCTAGATTTCTCCCGATTCTAGTTGTTAGGTATTTAGAGCTGCTGCTGCGCCAACACGTACCAAATACATTCGGTATGCTAATGAGGTTGTTTGGTTTCGATGCAATGGAGTGGCACCTCCAGAATGACGGTAAGGCTGAAAAGATGGATAATAGCGGTTACAAGCACTGCACACGACAAGGCGGAATTAATTAGGCTCAGTCGAGCTAGGAGAAATGAGCAGTTACGCTAATAAATTACGCAACTCGTTGCAAGCGAAAATAATTGACGTTTAAGAGAAAACTGTAAATTGACACTCATCCCTATATGAGCGCTCTTGCATTGACGCGCCACTCCCAAACTTTCGAAACCAGGCAAATATTTTGCTTAATTTTACTGCGACTTTCCGGAATTGAGCGCGCAGCAATCGCCTCGCGGCAGCATTCCGACATTCGGAGAAACTTAACCAGCGAGGTGCAAT